ACAGAAAACGAGAAATCACCTCCCAGGGGGGATGGCCATGCCACAATCCCTTCTCCTCCATTCTCCTCTCGGGATCTTGGGCATGCACGCACACGCGCCCGGCATGAGTTTAAGCCACCGGGTCCGGGACTCGAACTGCTGTCGACTACATGGGAGTCCAGCTACATAGCCATTACGCTAATTGCTGGTCCCAGATAATCTAACTTTCAATAGCAAGTTCAGCTGGTATATATATATATCTGTGAATACATGTCTGACTTTAGGTATAAAACTCTGAGTAGAATGATAGTACCTAACTGATCTATATAGCTTACTACGATCATTAATTAGGTATTTTTTAACTATATTTTTTAATTTCAAGATAAGTAATTTTAACTTTAATAAATCAAAGAAATGCTAAGAAACTACGCCTAAAACTTAAAGCCAGGAAACAGGTTGGGATTCTGTTCAAATAGTAGGTACATGAACCTATTGGCAGCTCAAGACATGACAAAAATCCTTAAAACCAGAACAGAGCCTAGAAGAAAATCAGCAATATTTTAGTCAAAAGTTATAAAATTCTATTTCACCAGTTCAGTCTCATGTACTTAATCTATCTTCTGTTGTGGTTTGATCTTCCCGATTAAATTCTGGGGTATAATATTCAACTCCAGACTTGTCCTTACAATTAAGTTGGCCATTTTCTTAGTTTTTGAACTCTTATTTCTGTGTGACTGTATTTAATTTTCCTGGTATAGCAGTCCCTGCAGAACTTCTTGGAGATCTGGTCTGGTGTAGGTTAATTCTTTCAGGTTTTGCTTATCTGAGAATGCTCTTGTCTTCTCTTCCCATATAAAGGATAATTTTGCTGGATATAGTGTTCTTGGTTGAAATTGTTTTTCACTCAGCACTTTGAATATATTTTTCCCATTCTTTCTGTGCTCACTTTATTTCTGATGAGAGGTCCACTGTCAGCCTGATGGGATATCCTTTGTAGGTAACTTGATGTTTCTCTCTTGCCAATCTTAGTATCTTGTCCTTGTCTGTGGTTTTGGTCAGTCTGGCTATAACGCGTCTTGGAGAAGATCTTCTTGGGTTGATTCTATTGCGGGGGGGGACCTTTGTATTTCTTGGGACTGGATCTTTGAATATCTCTCTAGGTTTGGAAAGTTTTCTTGCAGGATTTCATGGAATAGATTATCAATGCCCTTATGAGTCTCTTTGCCTTCTGGGATACCAATTATCTGGATGTTTGGACGTTTGATGGTATCTAGTATTTCTCGTATATATTCTCATTTTTTCGAGGGGGGGCAACTTTCTCAGTCTTTGTGGTGGATTTTTCTAGGCTAGTGATTCTATCTTCTCTGAGATTCGATTTTCGATATGATCTACTCTGCTTTTAATATTTTCAGGGGAGGTTTTGACTTTCTGCCTTATAGCCTTCATCTCTAACAGGTCCGTTTGATTCTTTTTAATAGTGTGAATTTCCTCTTTTATAGCTTGCAAGAATTTCCTCACCTCCTGGAACTCATTAGCTTCTTTCTCTTGCCTCTTCGGCAGTTCATTGTTTCTCTTCTCTTCTCTTAGATCTCTGTGAGCTTTGTCATTATGAGAATTCTAAATTCTTTATCTGACACTTACATGAGTTTCATCATACTGTCTGAGGATGAAGAGGACTTATTATTTTCCCATGAATAAGAGGTATTTTCTTGTTTTCCCATATTTCTTGTGACCCTGCAGTGATTTCTAGTCATCTGATGGATGGTGTGTTTCTTCCTAATTCTTGAAGTTCAATCTGAACGTTCAGCGTGCAGAAAGAGGTGATCTGCAATCTGTCTTCTGTTCCGTTTTCACTCTTTGTGCAACAGAATCAGTGGGGATAGAGGAATATTCTGATCTTAATCTTATTCAGATATTTAGATCCTGTTCACTTGGACCTGTCTAGACACTTAGTGAATAGGGGTAGAAATGAAAGGGGGGGGGGGGGTCTCAGCAGAAAATCTTTAAGTCCCTGAAAGCAATATTTCACAGCTGAAGTTCAGGATCCATGTGAGGCAAGACACATACATTCTGCCAAAAGAGCTGAATCAAAAAGAGAGGGAGGTGGGCCAGTCCCTAGTCTAGTGGTTAAGGAAGCAGGATTCCACATGGAGCATGTTTGGAAGTCTGGCCTTTGTGGCTTCAGAAACACACTGGGCTCGTGAGTACGTGTGTGCATACCTCAGATCCTAAGAGGGTGGAGAAATGGAGGAGAAGAGATGCCGCATCAGGGAGTGCTTTCTCCCTCTCTATCCCTCTGTCTCTCTCTGGTGAGTGCACGTGCCCTTTGGACATTCAAAAAAGGTAGGAGGGGCCAGCAGATGGCTTAGTGGTTAAGTTGCTGGACTCCAACATGGCCAACCACAGTTCAAGTCCCAAACCCTGTGACCAGAAACTCATGCCGAGTACACGTACATATGTGCCCAAGATCCCAGAAAGAGAATGGAGGAGAAGGAATTGCAGCATGGCCATCCCCCATTGGTGTGTGTGTGTGTGTGATTTCTGACTTTCTCTCTCACTGTCTCTGTGTTTCTTTCTCTGGTGAGTGCATAATCCCTAAGGCAAAAAGCTCTACAAAGAATAATAATAATAATAAAGCAGGAGGCACTAGCCACTAACTATGCCTAACCAGACTTCTGTCTTTCTGTAGTGTATCCTCTCTGGGGCCTCTGGGAACCTCCTTGCATTTGTCAGAAATATTGTGAAGATTTTTCAATAATGTAGAACCTCAAAAACAGAAACAAAACCAGAAACAGAGACCCTTCCTTTCCAAGAGGCTACTTCCCAGCCAACCATGGTAGAGAAAGGGGCAAACTAAGGGGCTGGCCCTTCGTGTCTTTTCTGAGCACCTGTGCCTATTTGCTTTACTTTATACAGGGTGCTCCTCAGATGGCCTTTCAGAACATAAAAAAGTCTGTTTTGATGTAAATAGAAGTCTGCTTCTTGCTGCAAATGAGGAGCTCACAGCTCGTAAATGGCTGCCAGTTTTGCTCGCGTGGCTACTCCCACGTGCAGTTGTGTCTGTCTTGGCAGGCGCACACTCACCACCCTTGGTCCACTCCGCAGAGGTTGGCTCAGGAGGTGTTGTGGGACAAAAGCGTGTCCCCAGGTCCCAAGCTTCATCTGGCTGAAGTGTCTCTCCTTTCTCCCCAGGTCCATATTCAAGCCATTCATCTTTGTCGATGATGTAAAACTTGTCCCCAAAACACAGTCTCCTTGTTTTGGGGACGATGATCCTGCCAAAAAGGAGCCTCGGTTCCAGGAGAAACCAGACCGCCGGCACGAGCTGTACAAGGCCCACGAGTGGGCGCGCGCTGTCCTCGACAGTGACCAGGTGAGGGCCTGGGAGGGCCAGCGAGGGAACGAGAGAGGAGGCGGGGAAACATACCAACCTCATAGTTTCCCTCCTCTCCATCAGGCCCAGTCTTCTCCCAGGAAACCAGGGTCCCTCCCAAGGATCTGATGCTGACTTCCCTGCCCAGTCTCTTGAGACCAGATAAAACCAAGCCACTGCTTTGGGTGTTCCTCTGGAACTCAGCAGCCTGCATGTGGCTCCTCGCCATTGTTTACTTAGGAAATAGCAGTGTGCAACCTAGGGGCAATGGTCTATCTGAGGGCTAAAAAGCTTTGCTCAGTTTTGGGGGTAAAAAGTTGTAGCACTGCTTTATTTAAAGATGCAATCATATGTCATTTCCAAAAAGTAGTTATTCAGTGTCACTCTGAAGACGGATGAAGGTAATGGCTGACATTGAACTGTATATTTAAAAATAGTTCAAATGGTACATTGCGTGGTGTATATTGTACCATAAGACAAGCAGAGTTAAAAAAAAAAGATTTTTAAGTTCTCAACTTTTAGAGGAAAAAAGGAAATCTTGAAAGTGCAGCCCTGCCCCAAAGGCTTTAGTTAACAAAGTTATAAGACATGATTCAAACCAGAAAAACACCCCTTGTGTGTTCCACAGCATTCAGTATTTGCCCACGGAGGTGGTGAGTTCTTTTCTTTCTTCCCTTCCTTCCTTCCTTCCTTTCTTCCATCCTTCCTCTCTCTCTCTCTCTTTCTTTCTCTTCCTTTCTTTCTTTCCTTCCTTCCTCCCTCATCCCTTCCTTCCTTCCCTCCATCCCTCCCTCCCTTCCTTCCTTTCTCTCTTTCTCTCTTTCTTTTCTCTTCCAGTTTTGTTACAGGATGCGTGTTTGTTAGAAAGAGGGAGAAATGGCGAGAGAGGGAAAGTGAGAAATCAGTCTCCAGGGGAGATGGCCACATGAAATCCCTTCTCCTCCATTCTCCTCTCAGGATTTTGGACATGCACACACCCCCAACATGATTGTTAAGCTGCTGTGTCTGGGACTTGAACTTCGCAGTTGGCCATGTGGGATCCAGCATCTTAACCACCACGCCACCTGGCTGGTCCCATGACAACTTTTTTTTTTTTTTTTTTTTTTTTTTCCACATATCTTATTCCTTTACACAGAGAGACAGTGAGAGGGAAAGTGAGATTTCATCCCCCAGGGGGAATGGCCAGGCCGCAATCCCTTCTCCATTCTCCTCCTGGGATTTTGGGCATGCACAAACATACCTGGTGTGATTTTCAAGCCACCATGTCTGGGACTCAAACCATGGTCAGCCATGTGGTAGTCCAGGGCCTTACCCACCACACTATCTATTGTCATTTACCACTCCCCATAACAACTTTTCATAGGTCCAGGAAAATGGAACTTATTTTCTCTTTGACATGGTGGACTCTATAAAAAAAAAGTAAAAAGGGCAATCCCAGCCATATCTCTGAGAAGGGCATTCTCAATTTTTATAGCATTTCCCCTTCTAGGGGCTGGCAGATGGTGTGGTGGTCAGGGGCACTGGACTCCCACATGGCTGATTGTGGTTCAAGTCCCGGACCTGGCGGCTTGCTTTCTCACTTTCTCTCTCTTTCTCACACACACTCTGGCCCTCTCTGTCAAATTTAAATAAATAAATAAATTTAAATAATTCTTTAAAAAAGAAAATTTGCCCTTCTATTCCTTAGAAACGATCATTTTTTCCCCTTTGTTTTTAATTGCCAGAGAGTGCATGTGCTTGCCAGAGAGACACGGACAGACAGAGAGTGAGCGGAAGCAACCCCAAATGGAGTGTGGTCACGCTGCCATCTATTTTCCTTCCTTTCTCTGTTGGGATCTGGGGATGCACGCACATGCGCCTAGTGTGTTTTCGAGCTGCTGAGGACAGGACTTTAACTGTAGTTGGCCATGTAGGAACTGACTCCCTTGACCACTAGGCCATGGGGCAGCCCAGGAATGGCCATTTGAGCAAGTAGCAGTCACACAGTTGTGTAGTGTCTGTCCTCCCCGTCCACGTTCCAGGATCCATGAGTGCTGCCGCCATGCCACGCTGAGCTTTCTCCAGCGTGGAGAGCAGTCGATGTGAAAGTAAGTGATTAAAGTATGAGGCTTGTAGACACGTGTAAAAACGTGTTTTGGGGGGACCAGAAGTTAGCGTAATGGCTATGTCGCTGGACTCCCATGTAGTCGACCGCGGTTCATGTCTTGGACCCGGTGGCTTAAACTCACGCTGGGTGCATGTGTGTGCGTGCCCAAGATCCCGAGAGGAGAATGGAGGAGAGGGGATTGCGGCGTGACCATCCACCCTGGGGGGTGATTTCTCACTTTCTGTCTCTCTGTCTCTCTCTGTCTGTCTGGTGAGTGCACGCACCCTATAGCAAAAAATAAAATAAAATAAAAAGTTTCTCAAAAAAAAATGTGTTTTTGTAAGTTACTTTAGTAAGGCTATTGAAAAATATTTAGATACAAAAGTAGTGTTTGCCTGTTGTTAATGGTTGTCTTTTTGTTGTTGTTAATATTTAATATACCCCAGTAGTGCTTAGTATTGGGCTAAAGGAAGCTACATGTGTTTATTAAATTGTCTCCTTAAAAAAATTAGAGAAATTATATGACGCCAGTCCTTTTTTTACATTTTTAGACAATTTTTTTTTTTTTTGGAGAGATTTTCACTGTAGGGCGCGTGCGCTCGCCAGACAGACAGAGAGAGACAGAGAGACAGAAAGTGAGAAATCACCCCCCAGGGTGGATGGTCACGCCGCAATCCCCTCTCCTCCATTCTCCTCTCGGGATCTTGGGCACGCACGCACACGCGCCTGGCGTGAGTTTTAATCCACCGGTGCCGGGACATGAACCGCGGTCGACTACATGGGAGTCCAGCGACATAGCCATTACGCTAACTGCTGGTTCCCGACAATTTATATTTAAAAACAACTGGCTTTGCATTTTAATTTTTCTTTTCTTATTTTTTTCATATCACTTTTGCCAGGACTAGTTTGGCATGAACGCGTTTCTCTGAGAGGAGAAAGTTGTGGATTAGAAATACACGCAATAACAAACACATAAAGACACACACGTATAGAAAAGTGAGGATCGGGTGGGCACAGCTTCTCTGATGGAGAAGTTGCAACGAGAACCAGCCTCAGGTTTATTCTTTTAAAAGGCAGAAAGTGGGGGAAGGGGAACATGGGATGCAAAAGGAATGGGGAGGAAGGAAGTGGAATGCAAAGAGAATAAGGGGGAGGACAGAGTGGAATGCAAAGCCAGTTGTTTGGGATGTAAATTGTCTGAAGATGTGAAAATGACTGGCGCCATATAATTTCTCTGATTTTTTTTGGGGGGGGGCAGTTTGATAAACGCATGTGACTTCCTGTAGCCTGATCCTGGGCAGTATTGGGGTATTAAAAACAACAACAAAAAGACAACCATTAACAACTATTGCTACTTTTATACGTAAATACTTTTCAATAACCGTACTAAAATAACTTACAAAAGTGCGTTTTTGCACAGGTCTACAAGCCACATGTTTTAATCACGTATTTTCAGATTGGCTACTCCTCTCCACACTCCAGGGCGCTCGGGTCAGTTCCTGACAGTGCTCACCTTCTAGGCAGATGTCAGTGAGCCCCAAGGGATGGCAAATGCTCTTCTGTGGGGTATGGTTTTGTGGGTACTTGGCAACCAGAATGCAGAGCTGGAAAGGGCCCTGTGTTTGAAGAGACGAAACTGGTGAGGTGGGTGGTTTTGAAATTTAGAAATGACTCTCGATGTGAGTCAAGGCTGTGTGGGGATGAGGCGGACGGTGATGAGAGCAGCTTCTCAGTCCTGGGGCTAACTGTGAAAGCTTTTCACTGTCTTCCACTGGACCCGAGGGATTCCCACAGGGAAGGCGAGATCTTGCCATTTCAGAAAAAGTCGAGAGGGGCTGGAGATGGCATGCCTTCCCTCACTGATCGCTTTATTCACTCAAAAAACTTTTTTGAGAGTTGGTCCTCTATCCTAGTCACTTGGTGGGTGGGTGGGGGGGGGCAGAGATAAGTCTCGTTCCCGCTCTCAG